CCCACGCCCGGCTAATTTTTTTATTTGTTGTAGAGATGAGGTTTCGTCAAGTTGCCCAGGCGGGTCTCGAACCCGCGGGCTCAGGCAATCCACTCACCTCGGCCACCCAAAGTGCTGGGATTATAGGCTGAGCCACCGAGCCTGGCCAAGGGTACCAGTTTCTTAAACCGTTTTTCTGGCCCATCAATGTGGACAAGGTGAGTGGCACAGGGAATCTACCCAGATACAATTCATGACCCTCTTTGCCTTTGCCTCTGCAGATGAAAACCTTGTCCCCCCATGTTCTGACTACTGTTGGGAGCCGGCCGTGGAGGCCTGCCTGAGCATTAGGGATCCAGGCAGGCTGCGGACCCTGAGACTGCTAGGACGAGCTCAGGAGCTGAAGGCCCGTTGCCTCTTCCCTTCTTTGCTGTTTTGGCACGTTCCACTAGCAGGGACTTTGATGATCTAAGCAAGAAGTTCTGAGAGTACAACAGGCATGGCTTACTTTAGGAGTCCATTGTTCCCATTTCTCATAGACTGCTGTTTCGGCTTTAGACTTAACATAATTCAAACTCAGGTCACATTTGGGAGCCTTTAATACGGTACAAGCTTCTTTAAAGATTTAATAGTATATTTGTAGAATTAGTATATACATACAAAGTGCTGTTTTAATCTTAATAACACAGATAAATATCTAGAGCTATGGCCCAGCACAAGCTTTGGGGTGGGCCACATTCCTAAAGGCCCAGCATGAGCTTTGGGCTGGGCCACATTCCTTAGGAATTGGTTTGGGCTATAATTAAGAGTTTCTATAGTGTAGATATAATTAGCGTAAAATAGAGAGGAATTGGGTTTTAGGTTGGTTATTAGGTGTTGCGTATGCATAGGTTTTAAAAGTTATTGATTATTTGAATATTATGATATTAGAATTGCTGTGCTGCTTTTGAGAAATATTAACCAAGCATGAGGAGCAGTGAAATAGTTTTGGGATCCTCATTCCTCATGCTTGGGGAAACACCTGGTGGGTGGGGGATGCCTCCTCATCCACCTGGTTCTATGTTCATGTAAATGTTTTGTGATTTAATTGGGATTGCCCTTCCTCTTACTCCAGGAAACACCTGGTGGGTGAGGGATGCCCCTCATTCACCTGGCTTTGTGTCCATGTAAAGGTTTTGTGATTTAATTGAGATTGTTCTTCCTCATGCCCGAGGAAACACCTGGTGGGTGGGGGAGCGCCCCTCCTGCACCTGGCTTGTGTTCACATGGCAGACTTGTAAGACTGCCTGTGTAAAATTTGGGATAAATTCAAGCTGTAAACCCCCAATAAACGGCTTCTGGTCAATCCGTTGAACAGATGTCCACTTTCTTTCTTTCTCTTTATATCTATCCCTCCTTCTTTCTTTCTTTTAATATCTATCCTTATAGAAACGCCGACGCCATCACATCTTCCAAGGGACCCCCTAAATCTTTTTGGGGACTGGCCCCCCAAATACTACAGGTTTTGACGTAATTCATCAGCTTGGGAAAGCTACACAGCCATTCCCAATTCATACCAAACGGAAACACACAGGATCTCGATGACCTGGCTATGCATTCTCCCATAAACATGGCTTTGGGGCCCTCATCACTTCTGGCAAGACAGAGAAGTCCATGAGCCCAAGAGAAACAACTTTCATTTTAGATAGTAGAGGCTCCAGGCAAATTCCAGAGCGGTCAAACATTGCACTTCCTTTGTATTCATGCAACTTAGTAAAGAAGGATGTGAGTCCCTGGGAAACCAGCATAAACCTCCACTCTCACTAGGGATCAGCCTTTTTTTTTGAGTTGGAGTCTCATCTGTCGCCCAGACTGGAGTGCAGTGGCCGCTCCCGGCCACCACAACCTCGCCTGCCGGGCTCCGGCGATCCTTCCGCCTCAGCCTTCTGAGTAGCTGGAACTACAGGTGTGCGCTACCACGCCCGGCTAGTTTTTGATTTATTGTAGAGATGAGGTCTCGCCAAGTTACCCAGGCAGGTCTCGAACCCGTGGGCTCAGTGAATCCATTCACCTCAGCCTCCCAAGGCGCGGGATTACAGGCTGAGCCACCGAACCCAGCGGGATCAGCCTTTTAATTCTCCAGAAAAATGTGCCCAGGTAAGGCAAGGAAGGGGAAGGAAAGAGCCCCCAGGTATCTGCCCCCCAAAAAGAAGTAACCTCAGGCCTCCCTTCCACTATTCCTTACAAGTTTTAATCCAGGTGAGCAAATGTGGAAGTGAGGGGAGAAGAGGGACAGTATGGGGAAGGGAAAAGAAGACAGGACATAAGAATCTTACTTTGAGCTGGGTTCAGTGGCTCAGCCTGTAATCCCGCGCCTTTGGGAGGCTGAGGTGAGTGGA